CTTCATTCACTCGGACGTTCCCCCTGGCACTCAGGGAGCTGCCCCCGCCACCACCGGCTCCTGGGCGAGGGGCAGCTGCCCGTCTCTGTTCTTCCCAGAGGCCCGGCCCGGCCCCTCGGCCAGGACCCGCCGCCTGGGGAGGCGCTGGGCGGCGGGTGCTCCCTGGCTCACCCTGGGGACAGCTCTGCGTCACCCACACTCGCCCCGGCAGGCACAGTCCCCGGGGCGTGGGGGCAGGGGAGGGGGGCATCCACCCGGTGGCAGAGGCCCACCTGCGCCCCCCCGCCAGCCAGGCCGCTCCCAGTGAGCTTACTTATTTATTTTTAAATATTTTTAAATTGCTTTCAGAGAGGAAGGAAGAGGGCGATAGAGACATCAATGGTGAGAGAGAATCGCTGCACACCCGCACTGGGGATCGAGTGTGGACCCAGGCGGTGCCCTGACCGGGAATCGAGCCCTGACCGCCTGGTCATCGGTCGGCACTGACCACTGAGCCGTGGGGGCGGGCGGGGCCTGGAACCGGCCTGCAGGGCTGCTGTGTGCTGAGAGCCGCAGGTTTCGCCGTGTCTGTGTGGCCTCGCCTTTGGCGGCTGGAGTGGTTGGTCAGGAGCCGAATTCTTCCTCCTTCTAAAGTGACGGCGGCTGCCCAGGCCGTGTGGCTCAGTGGATAGAGCGTCGGCCTGAGGACTGAAGGGTCCCAGGTTCGATTCCGGCCAAGGGCACAGGCCTGGGTTGCGGGCTCGATCCCCAGTAGGGGGCATGTGAGAGGCAGCTGATCAATGATTCTCTCTTATCATTGATGTTTCTCTCTCTCCTCTCTTCCTCTCTGAAATCAATAAAGAAATATATTTTTAAAAAATAGAGCGTCAGCGGCTCCAGACGACGCTCCGGAAGGGAAGGCCTGCGCTCTGCGCCCAGCGCGGCCATTGCTCACGCCGGCCCTTCCTCCGGCCTCGCGTGTGTTTCTTGTTTTGTTTGTGTTTTATTGACGTCAGAGAGGAGGGAGGGAGAGGCCTAGAGGCGTCAAGGAAGAGAGAACCATGGACCGGCTGCCTCCTGCAGGCCCCCGGGGATGGGCCTGCAATCCCGGCCGGACGCTCACCCTCCGCGCCCGCTGGCCGGGCCGCAGCGCAGCTTTCCACTGTGGTCACAGCCTCCCCTTTGGAGGAGTCACATGAGGGGCGAGGCAGTGGGGGCCTGGCCTGGGGACCCCGAGTTCCTCACTCAGCTGTGCATTGGGAGCAGGTTCGATCGGGAGGCTGTGCGGGGCCACCCTTGGGGGAATTGTGGCCGCCCCTCATTTCTCTCGCTCACACACACACACACACACACACACACACACACACGCACGCACACACCCCCCGCCGGGTTCAGCCTGCACGGGCTGCGCACACTGGGGGGAGCAGCGCGGCGAGGAAAGCCAGTTTCTCGTCCAGGTGTGGGTCTGGAAGCCCAGGCGCTGGGCCCGGCCTGGGGCAGGGGAGCGGGATCTCAGGCCACGGTGGGCCGGACCGGGGCTCCCGGCAGCCGGTGGGCCGGCGGCGTGGCCTCCTGCCGGCTGTTAATCACGGATTACCGTGTTTATTATTGCCGTGTTTATTATTGCCGTGCTTATCAGCGGGCCCTGCTCCCTCAGCCTCCGCCACGTTTGCGAATGCTTCAGGGAGCAGACAGATGGCTCCTGCCGTGGCGGCTCCGGCCGGGGTCTGGGCCGGTAATCACGTTAGCGGAGGAGCCGGCACGCGCAGCCAGCACCGGCCTCTGGGCGGTTACACGGCCGGGGACACTCGGCCGCGCTCTGGCTATGCTGATGGATGCCCGGATGCTTCCGGAGCCAGCCCGCCCTGCACGGCCCTGCCTCAGGGGCTGCGGGACCGGGCAGCGCCCAGCCCAGGGGTGGACTGACCCAACACTGCGTGCGTGTGTGCTTGTTTGTGTGCACCTGCATGCGTGTGCTCACCTGCATGTGTGTGTGCTCACCTGTGTGCGTGTGCACCTGCCTGCATGTGAAGCTGTATGAGTGTGCACATATGTATGCAGCTGTGTGCGTGTGCAGTTGCGTGCGTGTGAAGCTGTGTGCGTGCACATGCATGATGTTCGTGACCTGATCATCCCACGTAGAGCCTCCGGGGAGCCGAACAGAAGCCGGAGTGACCGGGCTCCTGCGGGTGAGTCAGCTGCTGCTTTTCACGGACGCCCTTCGCCGGGTGGAGGGCGTATCTTTCTGTTTCTAGTCTGATGAGGGCTTTTGTTATGAAAAGGTGCTGGGTGTTTGTCACCGCGTGTTTTCTCTGCAGCTGACGAGGTGGTTCTGTGGTTTCTGGCTTTTACTGGCCTGTGTGTGGCCTCCGTGTGTGGAGCCACCTTGGCATTCCTGGCCCAAGTCCCACGTGTTGTGGGGCGTAATCCTTTTATACGTTGTTGGGTTCAGCTCATTGTTTCTGACGGTCATTACGATGCAGCGTGCCTTTTAGAACACTTATAAACCAAAGCACCAACATGCCACTAACGTTTTCCTTATCGTAATGTTGACATAGTTTCCTGGTATACCATCTAAATATGTAAAAGGCTGATGTTCAGAGTGGAGTCCCCCCCGGAGTTCGACCAGGTGAACAGGAGTTCCATTGATCGCTATGACATGCAATGACCACCGGGGGGCGGCGTGGAACATGGCGGTGGCAGGGCACTGAGGGTGAGGGAGTGAACGAGGGAAGGTTGGGGGTGGGGGGGGCGCATCTGATCAGCCCTGATCACTGGCCAGGCCAGCTGGTGCATGATTTTGTGCACCAGCCTCTGGTGTAGATATAAAATACAGGTCAATATACGTCACATGTAACATCATATTGACATCACATTTCGTGTGGTTTTGTATCCTAGTTTCTTCTTCCAGTATACTAGTGTGAGAATCTTCTTTGGTCAATAGACACTTTTATAAAATGCATCACGACATATGACAATGTTCCCCCGTTGCTGGAAATCCAGTGATCACACTGCGGTGAGTGTTGGTGTTTGGGTTTTTTCGGTCGGCGTGGAGTGCGGTTGAGGTCCGGTAAGCGGTGTGGATCTGAAGTGCCCGGCGTGCTGAGCTTTGCCATGTGTATGCCATGGACCCACCCCACCATCGCGGTAACAAACCTCCCCCACCCCAGGGCTCCCGGCGGCCTCTGTGAGGCGCCCTCCCCGCCGGCCCGCCCCCCACGACCTACCTGTCTGTCACGGTACACGGGTGTGCATTTCCCGGAGTCTGATGTGAAGGAATCACGCAGATGCGTGTTGTTGTGTTTGTCTGTCTGGCTTCTCTGTCCCATGGTGAGTCTTCCGTGTGTCCACGCCACCACCCCATCCTCAGCACCTTCGTTTCTCTCGCCGTCGGGCCCTGTGGCGTTGGCGGCGTCTCCCACGCGGCTTCACCGGCTCCCAGAGGGGCCGCGTTCCGGTCTCAGCTCTCACGTAGGAAGCGGCCACGGCCTGGTGTGTGGGATCCTTGCCCACAGACATGCTGTTCCTGCTCTTGCTACGTCCCGGGGTGGCAGGGCCAGGTCCTGGGTGGGTGGGTGTTTCATGCTGTACATTCCCAGCGGCAAGGGTGGGAGTTGCAGACACACACACACACACACACACACACACGCGCGCACACACACATATCCAGCGGCTCTGACTCCACCTGCAGAAGCCGGTCCTTTCTCCGCTGGGCCTTCTCAGTGTGGCTGAGTGGTCCTTTGTGCGGCTTTGGGTCCGGCTTCTTTCACTTAATGCGATACACGGAGCGTCACGCTCGCTGTTTGTGTGGGAGGCTTGCTCCTGGGCATCGCCGCCCGCCGCTCCGTCCCGGCCGCTCGCTGTTCTGTGTCGCTGACCCGCGGTCCCTGCACAGAGAAGCGCCGTGGGCCTCGGTTTGCCGGTGGAGGGACGCGCGGTCGTACCTGGTGTTGCCATTGCGAATGCCGTTGCCAAAACATCCCGGGAGAGGGTGTTTGGCCTGAGTCGCTGCCAGACTGTTTCCCACATTCCGTGTTGGCACCGGCCCCGGCGCTGGGATTCCAGCCGCCCCGCGCACACCTGCCCGCTGTGTGGCCTCAGGAAGGTCGCTCAGCCTCTCTGGGCCTCGGTCCTCTTCTGGGCATGGGGTCCTAGCACTACCCCCTCCACAGGGCCATCAGGAGGCTGGCCACAGCTCCTGAGGGGTGGCTAACCCAGGGCAGCCCATGCTGGGTGTTTAACAGATGTTCACGGTCAGTGTCAATAACAGTAATGGCCGCACGTTCCCTAACTGGGCCAGTGTTTGTTCCGGAAAAGCCTGAGCCAGTGTGGACCCAGCCGAAGCCCCATGCTGCCTAGAACGGTCCGGGAGCAGCCGCGGGACCAGGCCGCCCCGCACAGCGTGATCCTACGCCCCGTCCTGCCCTGAGCCTCGCGTTGCAGCTGGGGAAACAGAGGTTCAGAGAGGCTCGGTCACTTGCCCGAGGCCACACAGCAGGGCTTGTCACTATGGCTTCCTCGGTCCACAGGAAGCGGGACAGAATTTGGCCACGAAAATGCTTTCCCGCCCGCGTGTAGATGCCACTGCCGTGACTTGCGATGGGTTCACGCGTTGGTTCATGCGTGTCTGAGGGCCTGCTGTGTGCACGTGCATTTGGCCTATGTGTGAAGGTCTATGCCGGGAGCATGTTGAAATGGTCCCCACAGCCGAAACCGGTGTGGCTCAGTGGATAGAGGGTCAACCTGCGGACTGAAGGGTCCTGGGTTCGATTCCGGTCAGGGGCATGAGCCTTGGTTGCGGGCACATCCCCGGTGGGAGGCGGGAGGCGTGGAGGAGGCAGCTGACGGATGTTTCTCTCTCATCGATGTTTCTAATTCTCTATCCCTCTCCCTTCCTCTCTGTAAAAAAAAATCAATAAAATACCATTTAAAAAATAAATAAATGGTCCCCACGGCCGCCCTGTCCCACCCCCGGGGCCACACGGACAGACACGCATGGCCATCTCACGCCCTGCCCGCAGCTCCCCCTCCGGTGTGGACGCCCACCTGCGCTTCCCGGGCAGCGACGGCCTGCGGGCCCCGCGCTGGGACGAGCCGCAGCGGGCGCGGGCGCTGGAGCAGATCTGCGCCGTGTTCCGCGTGGACCTGGGGCACATGCGCTCCCTGCGCCTCTTCTTCAGGTGAGCGGGCGCGGGCGCCGCCACAGCCCCCTGGGGGGCCCACCATGGCGCCCCCAGGGAGAGGGCCCGGGGGGCTCCCACACTCACTCATCCGCCCTCAGGGTGGTGGTGGCGGGGACGGGGGGGGGGGGGGGGGAATATCCCAGTATGCCCCACGCCTGCTGGAGGTGCCCATGAGGAGGCTCTCGCTGCCGCCCACCTGTCTGAGCCTGGTCCGTCACCAGCACCTGCCGCCCTCTCCGCGGGAGGGACCCTCCGCCGGCGGCGGGCGGGGGACAGAGGCCTCCGGGCAGCCTCCGGGGAGCAGAGGAGACCAGGCCTGGTCCCTGCTCCTGAGAGGGGGCAGCGCTTCCATGTCTCAGCAGAGCGGGCGGGGGCAGGGGGTCGCTTCTGCTGGACGCCCCCCGCCCCCGCCAGCAGCCCAGCTCTGCAGCACTCCTGTCCCCTGCCCCAAGGTCAGCCCCGCGGCCTCTGGCTGTCCTTGGGGACAAGCCCGTGTTTCCCCCCCTCCCCACGCAGTGACGAGGCCTGCACCAGCGGCCAGCTGGTGGTCGCCAGCCGCGAGAGCCAGTACAAGGTGCTCCACTTCCACCACGGCGGCCTGGACAAGCTGGCCGGCGCGCTGCAGCAGTGGGAGCACTGCGCGGGCGCCCGCCTCCACGGCCAGGTAGGCAGCCGCCCGGCTCCACCACCTCCTCCTGCGCGGCCTCGTGGGCTGTGACTTTGACCTCGTGGGCTGTGACCATGGCCTCGTGAGCTGTGACTTTGACCTCGTGGGCTGTGGCTGTGGTCTCGAGGCTGTGGCTGACCGTGGCCTCGGGGGCTGTGACCGTGGCCTCATGGGCTGTGACTGTGGCCTCGTGGGCTCACTGTGGCCTCGTGGGTGGGCTGTGGCCATGGCTGACTGGCCTCAGGGGCTGTGCCCAGGGCTGATGGGGCAGTCACTCTGGGTTGGAAACGGGTGCCCAGGCTCCTGGAAACACCGGCCTCTCGCTGGCGGTCATGTTTTGACAAGGCTCCTGCCATATTTTGCTCCATCCACACACACGTAATAAGCGCTCCTTAATGACTTGTTTAAGGACCTGTACGTGCTTATTAGAAACGGCTGCTTTACCGCCCCCTCCCTCAGCCTGAGCCTCCCGCCAGCCGCCCCCCCCACTGGACAACCTTTGATTTCTGAATTAAATGTCAGCGGCAGTTTTGCCTGGATCACGACTGCCTGTGGAGACGACCTGACAGGCGGCTCCCGAACAGGCTCCCTTTGTATGTGGCCAATCACATGTAATTTATTGCAGGCCCTTCCGGCCGAGGCGGGAGCCGCCCAACCAGGCATTGATTCCATTCTGCGGCTGGGGTGGGAGGGAGCGTGGGGGGCGGGTCCGGGGTGTGAGGGAGCGTGGGGGGCGGGGACCCGGGTGGCAGGGAGAGTGGGGGGCGGGGACCCAGTGGGAGGGAGGGGGACGGGGGGCGGGGCGGGGGCAGGCTGTGGGTGGGAGGGAGCCCGGGCCCGGGAAACGGAAGGTGAGGCTGTTTCCATGCTGATTGTGTGTGATTACAGTTGCCACCCAGGGGTTGGTGCAGGGGAGAGGGCCCCCCCCCCCAGCACAGCTGGCTTGGCCCCGGGGTGGGCAGTGGGACAGTCCCCCTTGCCTCCTGCCAGCAGGTGGCCGACGAGAAGACGTGCATGAAGTTCTCCATCCGGCGCCCCAAGCTGCCCTCCTCCGAGACGCACCCCGAGGAGAGCGCCTACCGCCGGCTGGACGTGGCCGCCTGGCTGCGCCACCTGAACGAGCTGGGCCAGCTGGAGGAGGAGCACAAGCTGCGCAAGGTGAGCGGGGCGGGGCCCGGGGCGGGGCCACCGTCTGGGGCGGGGCCACCGGGGCAGGCGGGGCCACTGGGGCGGGGCCACCGCGGCGGGGCGGGGCCACCGTCTGGGGCGGGGCCACCGTCTGGGGCGGGGCCTCCGGGGCAGGCGGGGCCCCCGGGGTGGGGCGGAGCCACCGTCTGGGCGGGGCCATCGGGGCGGGGCGGAGCCACTGTCTGGGGGCGTGGCTGTCTGAGTGAGGGCGGGGGCGGGGGCGGGGGCGGGACCGTCAGGGGGCGTGTGGCCGCCTTTTGGGGCGGGGCTTCCGGTGGGGCGGGGTTTGGGCGGGGCCGTCGGGATGGGGCGGGGCCGCCTGGTGGGGGCGGGGCCGGGCCCCAGGCTGGAGGAGCTGGGAGCCGCCCCGTTAGCCATCCAAGCCGCTTCCCGGGGGCTCAGGGCCTCCATCAGGCCTGTGCTGAGCCCAAACCCGGGGATTAGGCCGCGACGTGAGAACCGCAGTTCCTCCCGCTCCTGGGGGCCTCTGACATTGAAATGCGCCTGGCTCCGCGCCTCGAAAGGGGCCGCGCGCCCTCCAAACAGTGCAAAGCACGGCCGCACCGGGGCCTCAGTGTCCCGAGGCGCAGCCGCCGGAACGGGCATCCGGGGGCGCTGTGAGCTCCCGGGCCCTTCCTGACCCGCCGCCCCCGTCCGCAGGCCATCTTCTTCGGCGGCATCGACGTGTCCCTCCGCGGGGAGGTGTGGCCCTTCCTGCTGCGCTTCTACCGCCCCGAGTCCACGTCCCAGGAGAGGGAGGCGCTGCGCGCGCGGAAGCGCCAGGAGTACGCGGAGATCGAGCAGCGGAGGTAGGGGGCCTGGGGGTGCAGTCTGCCGGACCGGGAGCCTCATGACCCCAGGCCCCCTTCAGAGTTGTTTTTTTTTTAATTAAATTTTTTTTATTTATTTCTGAGAGGAAGGGAGAGGGAGAGAAAAATCCATGGGGTGAGAGAATCACGGGTCAGCTGCCTCCTGCATGCCCCACCCTGGGGATCAAGCCCACAACCCCAGCAAGTGCCCGGACAGGGAATCGAACTGTGACCTCCTGGTTCAGAGGTCGCTGCCCGACCCTGGGCCACGCCAAGCTGCAAGGCTCTCGCCCACAGACTCACCTGGATGCTGGGGTGCCCGCAGGGCCTCAGGAGCCAGACGGCTGAGGTCCGAGGGGCCTGCTGACCCCGGGCTGCGGTCAGCTCTCCTCCCCGAGGCCGAGTCCACGCGGGGACGCCCCCGCTGACCGGGCCTCCCTGCGCCAGGCTCTCCATGACCCCCGCGGAGCACCGGGAGTTCTGGCGGAAAGTGCAGTTCACGGTGGACAAGGATGTGGTGCGCACCGACCGCAGCAGCCAGTTCTTCCGCGGCGAGGGCAACCCCAACGTGGAGAGCATGAGGTGCGCCTCCGGCCTCGCCCTCGGGCGTGGGCTGGCGCCGCGGGGTGGGGGGGGGTGTCATCCAATCACCCAGAAGCTATTTTTTTTAAAAAATATTTGCATTGATTTCCGAGAGGAAGGGAGAGAGAGACAGACAGAAACATCAATGATGAGAATCATGGATCGGCTGCCTCCTGCACACCCCCCACTGGGGATGGAGCCCGCCCGCCAGGCCTGTGCCCTGACCAGGAATCGAACCCTGACCTGGTTCATAGGTCAGTGCTCAAGCCCTGAGCCACGCCAGCTGGACAGGTCGTTAGCTGTTTTAGCCAACTTCACTCAGCCTCTGTGGTCAGTGTCCCAGGCCAGCCCAGAGGTCCCTCTGGAGGTGCCAGTGAAGCCGCCAGGCCCTGGACAGGCACCCAGGCCTTGCTGGGCCTTGCTCGGCTCTCACACTGGCTGAGCCTCCCCCAGGGGCTCCCAGTGGCTGGTCCTCCGTCTAACGCCACGCTGGCCTGGGCCGGCATCGTGACCGCTCCGCTGCCGCCTGGCACGTGACGGCACACACTCCGCCGCCCGCCTTCCCCCGGGACTGAGGCGAGGGCAGGGGTCCGGGCAGCCGCGGCCTCCGGCCTGGGCTCTGCTGGCCCCGGGCGACCGGCCGCCGGCGGGGGCCTGGGCGGGTGTGCGCGGCACCTCCTGACCGACTGCCTCGGCCCCGCCAGGAGGATCCTGCTGAACTTCGCGGTGTACCACCCGGCCATCGGCTACTCGCAGGGCATGTCGGACCTGGTGGCGCCCCTGCTGGCCGAGGTGCTGGACGAGTCGGACACCTTCTGGTGCTTCGTGGGCCTCATGCAGAACACCATCTTCGTCAGCTCACCGCGGGACGAGGACATGGAGCGGCAGCTGGTGCGCCCCGCGGGCTGCGTGGGCCGGGCTGCTGGGGTGGAGGGCCGGGGGGCCTTGGCTCGGGGCCGCGGGGAGGGCGCAGGCTGGCTCCCCGCGTGGCCGCGGCGCGGGCTGACCGAGCTGCCCCACAGCTGTACCTGCGGGAGCTGCTGCGGCTGACGCACCCGCGCTTCCACCGGCACCTGGCGGCGCTGGGCCCGGACGGCCTGCAGCTGCTCTTCTGCCACCGCTGGCTGCTGCTGTGCTTCAAGCGCGAGTTCCCCGAGGCTGAGGCGCTGCGCATCTGGGAGGCCTGCTGGGCCCACTACCAGGTGAGCGGGGCGGGGGCGGGGGCACGGGGGCGGGCGGACCGCGTCCTGGGCCCTGCCTTCCAGGAGGCCAGAGTGCCCCGTAGCCAGCCCCTCCTCTGGGGCCCTCCTCTGGGGCCCAGCCCCCCGCTAGCCCCGGTCAGCGCCTCACACACCCGCCTTCCACCCCCCGCCCCCCGCGGCGGCTCCGGCCCCACCTCGCCTCCCCAGGAGCTGAAATGGGTGCAGATTGCCTGCTGACATGCTCTGGGGCTGAGCGGCCCCTGTCACGGCCCATCCGCCCGGCCCCGCAGCCAGCACACCGCGTGCCCCCTCCTCCTCCTGCGGGACGGCTCAGCGCACAGGCCGAGACCCCGCGTCCCCCGGGAGCGAGGCCCGGCCCGCCCCTCCCGATCGCGCCCATTTCCCCCTGCCGTCCGCCATCAGCGTCTCCCCGCGCGCGGCTGTCGCACGGCTTAGCGCCCGTGAGCGACAGCCGGCCCCGCTGAGGGACAGCAGGTCTCGGAATCCACCAGCCTCTAAAACCCGGACTGGCTCAGCGGGAGGCGGCAGGACCCCCTTGGGACCCTCCCCGGCAGCACGGGCGGCCGCTCCACAGACCCTGCCGGTGGGCGGAGCCCCGCCCCACGCGCGACCCGGGAACACGCCGTGGGGACGCGCGCTGGTGGGCGTCCGAGCTCCGCGGCACCCGCCCCGCTGGGTCTGCTCGCCGGCAGCCGCATGGCCGCCCTCGGCATCACGTTGGGTGACGCTGCCGGGGCCGCCTGAGCATCCCAGCGGGCGGACTTCACCCCCGGGCGCCCTGTGGACGCCTCCCTGGGCTCCAGCTCCTGGTGTCCCCGGCTTCCAGCTCAGCTCAGACCACGTGGCTCTTGGGAGGAGGGGGGGGGAGATGAGGACAGTGGGGCACGCTGATTCATCAGTTTTTTAAAATGTTTTGAATGACTTGAGAGAGAGAGGAAGGGAGCGGGAGTGTTAGGAACACCCATCCATTGCCTCCTGTGCACGCCCTGACGGGATTGGACGCAAAGCCCGGATAGGAGCCCTGACTGGGGATGGAACCGGTGACCTTTCTGTGCCCGGGAGGATGCTCGGCCGGGGAGCCCCTGCCAGGGCCCTTTCCTGTGGAAGGCTCATTCTTGTCGCTGCCTTCGGGCCGGGCTTCCTGGGCCGTGTCCTGGGAACTGGAATCAGCCTGAGCCGCCGGCTGGTTCAGGGCACGTCTCTCTCACACACACACACACACACGCACACGCACACACCCCCAGCTGCCCACCTGCCTGGAGCCTCTGCTGCCTTCCCAGCGGCTGGAGCCCGTTAGCCGGGAAGGACCTCTGAGCCCTAACAGGCCAGGCGGACAGCTCCGGAGGGACCGCCCTCCTGTCCCGGGCCGGGGGCCTGGGCTGCGGCGCCCTGCCCGCACTGCGGGCCCCGCCGAGGCCGGAGACTAAACACGGCTCCCGGACTCCTTGTCCTTCCTCTGACAGCGGGCAGCAGGATGCTCCCAGGTCAGGGCCGAGAGCGGCTTCCTGCCTGCGGGCGGCGCTGCCACTCCCCGGCCGGCTCCATCAGGGGCTCCTTCCGGTCCTCACCCCAAACCTCAGGGGCGCCTCCGGGGCAGGGCTGGCGCTGGGGAGGGCCCTGGCGGCGGGTAGCGGCCACGCGGTTCTTGGTCCCGGGCGCGGCCCCCGAGCCGCTGGGGGTTCTCACAGCCTTTCCCACCGCCGTCTCGCCAGCACCAGCGAGCCTTCAGGGACGCACTTTCCCCCCAGACAGAGCCCAGTGTCCCCCGCGGGGGCACAGCTGGGGGTGCTGAGTGCTGTGGGAATGACCGGCCCGTGCAGGTGGGGAGACAGGACCGAGGCAGCTGTGCTTGCCAGGCCTCGGACCCCAGACAACCTCACCTGCACTCCGCCGTCTCCTCCGGGCAGCCCCCGGGCTGGGCCAGGGCCTCCCTGTACCCCCTCTCCCCCCCACAGACAGCGGGGGCTGGGCCGGGGCCTCCCTGAACCCCCTCTCCCCCCCCCACAGACAGTGGGGGCTGGGCCGGGGCCTCCCTGAACCCCCTCTCCCCCCACAGACAGCGGGGGCTGGGCCGGGACCTCCCTGAACCCCCTCTCCCCCCACAGACAGCGGGGGCTGGGCCGGGGCCTCCCTGAACCCCCTCTCCCCCCACAGACAGCGGGGGCTGGGCCGGGGCCTCCCTGAACCCCCTCACCCCCCACAGACAGCGGGGGCTGGGCCGGGGCCTCCCTGAACCCCCTCTCCCCCCACAGACGGATTACTTCCACCTTTTCATCTGCGTGGCCATCGTGGCCATCTACGGGGATGACGTCATTGAGCAGCAGCTGGCCACCGACCAGATGCTCCTGCACTTCGGAAACCTGGCCATGCACATGAACGGGGAGCTGGTCCTGCGCAAGGTGAGCCCGCCCCGCGCGGAGCTCCTCCCACAGCCCCGCCCACAGTGCAGAGCTCCTCCCACAGCCCCGCCCCCACAGTGCAGAGCTCCTCCCACAGCCCCGCCCCACACTGCAGAGCTCCTCCCACAGCCCCGCCCACAGTGCAGAGCTCCTCCCACAGCCCCGCCCCCACAGTGCAGAGCTCCTCCCACAGCCCCGCCCCACACTGCAGAGCTCCTCCCACAGCCCCGCCCACAGTGCAGAGCTCCTCCCACAGCCCCGCCCCCACAGTGCAGAGCTCCTCCCACAGCCCCGCCCCACACTGCAGAGCTCCTCCCACAACCCCGCCCCACACTGCAGAGCTCCTCCCACAGCCCCGCCCCACACTGCAGAGCTCCTCCCACAGCCCTGCCTCCACAGTGCAGAGCTCTTCCCACAGCCCCGCCCACAGTGCAGAGCTCCTCCCTCAGCCCCGCCCCCACACTGCAGAGCTCCTCCCTCAGCCCCGCCCCCACAAGGCCCTCCCCCACGTGCAGAGCCCCGCCCCCACAGCCCCCCTGTACAGAGCCCTCCGGACTCCTCCCCCACACGTGCAGAGCCCCGCCCCCATGTGCAGAGCTCCTCCCTCACAGCCCTGTGGTGGTGGGAGCAGAGCCCGCAGGGGCCGGGAGGTGGGGGCGGGCAGAGCAGTGTGCCTGGGCACCCTGTGGGGGGCTGGGGGCCGAGTGAGGGGGGTCCTAGGAACCGGCAGGGCCCTGTATGCCCTGGCCGCCCTTCGGATGAAGGCCGTTTGGGGTGCCTTCCTGTCGGGGAGGGCACTGCTGTTCGGCGCCCCGGTGGGGTCCCCAGTGCATGAGGACGGCTCCTGCTGGACCAGGACCCCTGCCTGCAGGAGGACGGGACACTGGCAGAGCCTCAGCCCGAGCCCGGCCCTCACCGCCGCCCTCCCTCTCCGCAGGCCAGGAGCCTGCTGTACCAGTTCCGCCTCCGGCCCCGGATCCCCTGCAGCCTGCACGACCTGTGCAAGCTGTGCGGCAGCGGCATGTGGGACAGCGGGTACATGCCCGCCGTGGAGTGCACGGGCCACCACCCGGGCGCGGAAAGCTGCCCCTACGGGGGCACGGGCTAGCCGCCCGCCCTCGCCCAGAGGAGGCGAGGCGGTGCCTGCGAAGGGCTGGCTGCCCAGAGGCCGGGCCCCCGCCTGCGCAGGGGGAGGGGCCGGGGCCGGGGATGGGCACCGAGGGTCCTAGTGGCTACAAGCCCATGGCCGGCGGGTGTGACTCTGGGGGAACCAGGCCTGGGTGGGGGCCGTGGCCGGGCTGTGCTGGACCCGGCCCCGGGGGGCGGGCAGAGGACTCTGAGGGGGCCCCGCCGTGACAAAAGTCAGGAGAGCCGGCCGGCGTGGCAACACGGTTGATCGTCAACCTGGTTCACCTGCGTGAGGGAGGCGGCCACGGTTCCATTCCCGCTCCCCAGCAGGGGGCGTGCAGGAGGCAGCTGATCAATGATTCTCTATCATCGTTGATGTTTCTCTCCCTCTCACTTCCTCTCTGAAATCAATAAAAATCTGTTAAATACATCAAGGACTGAAGGATAGTAAATGTCGCCGAGGGCTAACGAACCAGTGAAGGGAGTGCCGACGAGCCGTCCCCAGCGGCACTGCCAGGGGCAGGCACCCACACCCGTCCCCTCCACCTGCTGGCACTCTCTAGACGCCTGCCCTCCGAGCGGAGAAGCTGCCTGCCCCTCGGCCCCTCTGTCCCGTGGTGGCTCCCTGAAGCCGCTCTCTGCTGTGGGTCCCGGCCTCCTGTGAAGGGCCCGGAGCCGGCGGTGCCGGGGCCGAGGCCCAGGCCTGTCCAGCCGCCCTCCCTCCCGCCGCCTCCGCCCTGTGGGCAGCCTTCAGAGAGCCCACCCGCCCGCCGAACAGCATGCCTCCCGCTTCCGGAAGCTCCTCTTCCTCCAGTTTCCTGGTGAATTCCCAGGTCCTGTCCACGGTTATTCAGGTGGGAATGTCCCCGCTCTTGGTCTCACTGCTCCACCGGGCCACGGGACCCCCTGAGCGGGCAGATGAAGAGAAGTGAGTTTTTAGGCCGAAACAGCCTGGTGAGGACGTGGGGGGTGTGGGTGCATGGGGCAGGGGTGAGTCTGCCTGGGGGGGAGGTGTGGGTGCACAGGGGCAGGGGTGAGGCTGCCTCGGGGGGGGGTGCACAGGGGTGAGGCTGCCTGGGGGTGGGGGGTGCACAGGGGCAGGGGTGAGGCTACCTAGGGGGGTGGGGGTATGGGTGCATAGAGGCAGGGGTGAGGCTGCCTCAGGGGGGGGTGCACAGGGGTGAGGCTGCCTCGGGGGGGGGGGGTGGAGTGGCTCTGAGGGGGTGAAACAGGTTGAGCCTGGAATGGACACCTCTTGGCCACTGGTGGGGGCGGCCTGGGGGACCAGGGGTGACGGGGGGCAGGAAGTGGCACTGCCCTCCGGTGTCACATCGGGTGCCCACAGGTGGGGCGGGGCGGCAAGGCTGGGAGTTGGCCCCCCACTTCCCTCCCCCCCCCCGCATTGCCCCCCCCCAGAGGCCAGGCCTCTGTAGACTGAGTCGTAGGACTGACCATCGGGTGCCAGGGGCCTCCCCGCCCTTCCCCTCGGCCCTCCGCTAAGTGCAGCCTCGGGGCGGCCCCCAATGGGCCCAGAGTCACCCCAGCTCCGGGTTCCCAGCCTGGCCCGGCCTTCGGGGTCCCTGCACACCCCCCATCACGGGCCTGACGCGGCCCCGGTCCAGGTCTGCCGGCAGGGGCCTCCTTTCCGGAAGCACGTTCCCGAGCCTGACGGCCTGCCTGGCACCCCGGCCCCAGGCCTCGGGGCGCCGGGCAGCGTGGCGGAGGCCTGAGGCAGGTGCCCGGGCGCCACTCCCGTCCCCAGCCGTCCTGACCCATCCGACCAGGCCCAGCGGTGGGGGCAGCTGCTGGTGGGGTTTCGGCAAAGCTGGGCTTCTCACCGGGAACTGGCCTCCGGGAGGGAGGGAGGGCGGCCGGCGGGCGCCCAGGTCCACGCAGGAGGGTCCCCCCCCCCCGTGTCCTCAGAAACCTCCTCCGGCCACTCCCATGGGGGGCGAGGGCACCCCTCGGACTCCCAGCTTCCGCGGGGCCTGTGTCTGCTCTCGGCCGGGGCGGGGCTTGAGGGGAGCCCTCACACCCGCTCGCTCCTCGGACCCACGGAGTGTGGGCTCCTGCTCCGGGGGCGGGGCGAGACCCACAGACAGGGACACACGGGACCAGACGGGGCGGGGCCTGGACAGGGCTGGGGCTCCGGAAGGGGGGGAGGGAAAAGGGGGGACCGGGTGGGAATGGGGGAGAGGCGGGGGAGGGGAGGCGAGGGGAGGAGGGTGGCCCCTCCGTGGGCCGCCATCCAATCAGACAGGCGCATCCAGTTAAATGGGATGATCCGGTGACAGCGGGACGGGCGATCTAATTAAAGGGACGGTGCCAGCCGAGCCGGCAGCTCTGCCAGGGGCCGCTCGGGTGAGACCAGGGGCCGGGAGGAGAGCAGGGGCCCCAGCGGCCTGAGGACAGGCCTCTGCTCTGAGCCCCGCCCTCCGAGCACTGCCACCGGACCCTCCGAGTCCCCCTACCCCCCGGGCCTGCCAGCAAGGCCAGCCCCCCCACAGCCCGGCGCCCGGAGCAGCCCTCGCTGGCGAGGGGAGCGGCCGTGGCGGCCAGCGCGGCGACATCTGTCTGCCGGCCGCGGGCCCCTCGAGCCCTCGGCTCATTTTCTCTGGAATCAGATCGATGCGGGTCCCCTGGGAGCCTAGGAGCCTTTGGCCTTCGCCGACGTGGCTGGTCAGGCGGAGCGGGAGGCGGGGGCCAGGACGAGAGGAACCCCGAGCAGAGGGCCCCGGCTCCCCGCCTGCCGGCCCAGCCCCCCCGCCCCCCGCCGGGCCCTGACGGACAGGCAGAAGTCGGGGGGCTCCCAGCTTCCCCACCTGAGCAGGAGCAGCGGTGGCTCTCCTGTGTTTGGGGTACACGCCTCTCTGTCCAGCCCCCCGGCCCCCGAGACTGTCCACAGGAGGGGCCCCTGGGAGGGGCCTGGGGGGAGCAGGGCCCTGGCTGGCACCCGTGATGGAGCTCACCACCCACGGCCCAGCCGCCTGGCCGGAGCAGGGGCCTCTGAGTGGACAGGCGGGTGGGGGGGGTGGACACCCACGGTGGACACTGTCCATCCACCTTGGTGCTCGCAGTGGCCAGGAGGGGGCAGTGCTGCCTTGAACCCGCTCCCTGCAGCGGAACAGAGAGGGTGAGGGACCACCAAGGTCGCCCAGCGTCAGGGCCCTCAGGCAGAGGGGCAGCCCTGAGAAAGGGGGAGGGAGCGAGGACGGCCCCCGGAGCCCTGCAGGTCTCAGGGGGCAGCAATGGGGTGCAGCGGGCCGTGGGGGTCCACCCACTCAGCGTCCTGGTCCGGCCTGGCCTGGCCACGGGGTGCCATGGGGGTGTGTGGGGACCGGGGTTCTGGGCCCGCCTGTAAAGCGGCTCTCAGCGCCCGGCCCAGGGCGAGCAGGAGCAGCCATGCATGAGCGCCTGCTGTATACCAAACGCGGTGCACACGCACACGCACACGTGTTTTCAGTGAGACGCAGGCTGGGGAGGGAGCGCGCGGTCACGGACGTGCCGGCCGCTCGACCGCTCCCCCGCTCCTGGGGCGCAGGCGGCGAAGGATGGGGCTGGGCCGGGCAGCGTGCGCCCTCACCGGGCCCTCCCGGGCCCAGCCTCTCGGGCGGGCACAGGGCGGGCGGGTGCCCAGGGGTCCTGACGGGACAGCAGAGCCTCCGGACTGAAACCCGGCTGCCGGGCCCTCCCCGGGGGGCAGGGGCAGGGGGAGGGGCATGGGCGGAGCTCTGTCCTTTTGAGGGTCCCCTGGGGCCTCAGAGTGGACGCCCCCGCCCTGCCCTCCCCCACCGAGGCCTTGGCCGAGGCCCCCGAGGGGCTGGGCCCGGAGGCCTGTGCGGGGTCCCGAAGCCGCTCACCGCCTGGGCCTGGAGGCATCTCCCGGGACCCCTCTGGGCCTGAGGGCCGGCCCCCAGGATGGTGTCACCCCAGAGCTGGCTCCCTGCCCCCGCCACACCCCGGGCTCCCACCAGACCCGCCGGCCTGGCCTGACAGAGGCCCCGGCGGCCCCCACGCCTGGAGCGGCAGAGCGGCCTCGCCCGTTTGCCGGACGGTAAAGTAATAAACGGCCCACCTGCCGCTCGGCAAACACCACTGGAATGAAGGCGCGTCCCTCCCCCGGCCACGCAGCCGCAGACCACGGATCACGGACCACGGACCACGGACCACGGGCGACAGGTGCCGCTAGCCATCAGATAGGAGCCGGGCCAGAGGCCAAGGGGGTGGGGCAGGGGGGCAGGGGGTGGGGGGAACGGGGTGTGGGGGGAGGGGGGCAGGGTGTGGGGGGGACAGGGTGTGGGGGGTCAGGGTGTGGGGGGGCAGGGGGGAACGGGGTGTGGGGGGAGGGGGACAGGGTGGGGGGGACAGGGTCTGGGGGGGTCAGGGTGTGGGGGGAACGGGGTGTGGGGGGAGGAGGACAGGGTGTGGGGGGGACAGAGTGTGGGGGGGTCAGGGTGTGGGGGGAACGGGGTGTGGGGGGAGGGGGACAGGGTGTGGGGGGCAGGGTGTGGGGGAGGGGAACAGGGTGTGTGGGGGGCAGGGTGTGGGGGGCAGGGTGTGGCAGGGACCCCCCAAGAGCAGGAGCCACACAGGAAGTGGCCGGAAGTGGACGGGGTGTGGGGGGCAGGGTGTGGGGGGGGCAGGGTGTGGGGGGCAGGGTGTGGGGGGCAGGGTGTGGGGGGCAGGGTGTGGGGGGAACGGGGTGTGGGGGAGGGGGGCAGGGTGTGGGGGAGGGGGGCAGGGTGTGGGGGGCAGGGTGTGGGGGGGATGGGGGAGGACAGCGGCTTTGGTCCCACCCCAGCCTCTTGCTGTGTAACCGGGGAGGAGCCAGGAGCCCGCACAAGGCAGCACATTCAGAATAAGGGGCCCCGAGTCTCTGGGCCCCTAAACGCGCAGGGACCCAGCCCACAACGCTCAGTCACTCCTCCTGGTGGCCACATGAGGTAGGGCGGTTATCCTCCTCGTTTTCTAGGATCTGAA